CCAAGCCCCTGCTCAGAGGTCAGGCCTAAAAACCAGGCACACTCCTGCCCACCTCCATTGGGCCCTCAGGCATTCAAGAGAATAAGGCCACCGGGTCTGCTGTAGCCTGGGCTACAGCCATTGACAGATAACAGTTTTATTCAACAGGAAGTATTGGAGCTCAGCCAGCTCTGACACTGAAGGCAACTGCATGTATAGGAAGTCATCAGGGACAGGGAAAGACCGACCGAATCAGATCTAGCCCAGGACAAGGAGGGACAGCCTGTAAGCTGCACCTCCCAAGTCAGATGCATCTTAGCGGAAGTAGTTGGGACACTCAAGGGCAACCAGGTTCGAGGCTTGGTCAAAGGCTTCCACGACAGCCGGCTCCAGGGGCCCTTCCTCAACAAAGGCCAAGTTCTGCTCCAATTGTTCCAGACTGGACATGCCCAGGATGACTGCATCCCCATGGGTGCCCTGCAAGAGAGCATGATTTCAACACTTCTGCCACACTCCTGCCTGTCCCTTGCTAAGATCTGGGACCTGTTTTTACTTAAGCCCATGTTGCTGCTTGGAGATACAACTACTGCCTGCAGACAGCAAGGCCATCCAGGCTTCTCTACCCTGCAGGACAGTTTGGGAGTCAGTTTTCTCCAAGCCTGCCATGTACCAGATACTAAAAGAACACCATTACCCCAAGAATGCCCATACTGGAGAAAGGAGTTAGGGAGAGGACACTGGGACAACAGGAAGAGATTCTCCCTAACCCCACCCCCAGGAACATAGAATTAAGTTCTCTTTCCAGGAAGTGCTGTAATACATACTTTTTTAAATGTAATTTTCAGTCAGATCTGTGCTTTTATGAACTTGTGGGACTTAGGTAAACCAGCCTCTCAACCAGTTTCTCCACGTGAAAATGGAAATCATTAGAGCTCGAGGGATGGCTCAGCCACTAGGAGCAGTGTCTGCTCTTGGAGAGGACCTGGATTCACTTTCCAGGACCCACATGGTGCCCACTTACAACCACCTTTAATCCTTGCCGCCCTCTCCTGGCCTCTGCAGGCACTGCATACACATGGAACCCATAAGGCAAAACATACATACAAAATAAAAATGAGATCTTTAAGAGAAAAAAATGAAGGTGACTAGAGTTCACATAGCCATTGACATCTAGTCAGGTAAGATAGTGCTAATGTGGTTCACCATCCTGGGCGATGAAACTGGGCCAGAGAAGACATAGTCTCAGTGGTTGGCCTCTGTCACTTCTACGCCTCCACTTCCTCCCATCCGACCTCACGGCAGAGGCTGAGCAGCCAGGACCAGCTGGGCTACCTTGAGCTGTGAATGATGGTACATCCACCGCAGGGCAGCTGAGGTCATACTGGGGGCAGAGGTGCCATAGGTAGACTTCAGAGCCTTCTCCACCAAGGTGATGCCTTTGAAGTGTTCCTCCTTCCAGTAGCTGAATGGGTGGGAAGGGTGACACTGGAGTCAGGATCTTGAGGGCCACTAAAGGGTGACCCAACCCCTGCATCCCTGAAGTAGCCTATGCCCTCAGGCTACCCCTAAGTTCAGAACAGGCTACATTGTAAGTATCAGAACATACTGGTCTCCAGGCTTCTTGCCAGGTTAGGAGAAACACAGAAGAAAGAACCCTGGCATTTTACATCCTCATCAAACAATAACAATACAGCTCCAGGGGCTGGAGAGATGGCTCAGTGGTTAAGAGCACTGACTGCTCTTCCAAAAGTCCTGAGTTCAATTCCCAATAACCACATGGTGACTCACAACCATCTAGAAAGGAATCTGATGCCCTCTTAGATGCCCACAGCACCATACTAGTAAGCCCTGGGTCACACACAAGTCTGGAGCAAGTCCTGGGCACCAGTCCAGCTTCTGTGGAGTTGGTTGAGCCTCCTCCCTTCCCTACACTCACTGATCTGCACACTGAGGGAGAGAACACTCCCTGCCAGTCTGCCTCAGGGACTTCATCAGGCAAAGAGGTAATCATGCTGCAGACATTAAAGGGAGTGACCATGAGGAAGGCCACAAGGCCTTGATTCTCCAGAAGAGAGGCCTGGGCTCTGAGAGTGTGTGAACCTGAGAACAGCTGTTCAAGGCCGTGGTTTCTACTCCCAGGCAGGAGGATCACCGATTGTAGTGGGGAAGGCTACAAGGAGTGTTTTACTCTTGCTATTCTGCTGTGAGCTGTTGGGCATTAAATGCAAGGCCTCGTGCACACTCAACAAGTCTAGCAGTAAGCAGCACACTCCCAACAGACAGGGCTTGAGTCAAGCGGGGTACACAGGAAAGCTAACAGAAACTGCTTGCTGCTTACAACCCTGGCCTTTTCAACAAAACCAGCACTGAACCCTCACACAGGAACTTGCTTGGCTGGGCCTTCCTTCCCAGACAGAGAATACAAAAAGCAAATGTATCAGCTTATGCTCAGAAATGAACCTTGGAGACATGGCATCTGAGGTGACAGAGGGGAAGAAAGTGTAAGAATTTCACAGTGTCCATCCACAGGAACAAATACATCTAATCCAACCTCTCAGGAGGCTGAAGCAGGAGGATTACAAATTGCAGGCTAGCCTGGGCCAAACTCTGCTTCAAATAACAAACAAACAAAGTTACGGCCAGGCAGAGGTGGCATACACCTTTAGTCCCAGCACTTGGGAGGCAGAGGCAGATGGATTTCTGAGTTCGAGGCCAGCCTGGTCTACAGAGTGAGTTCCAGGACAGCCAGGCCTACACAGAGAAACCTTGTCTCAAAACAAACAAACAAACAAACAAACAAACCAAAACAAAACAAAAGACAAAAAAACCCATAAAGTTACTAAGGGGAAAAAAAAAGACAATAGCTGATGAGTTTTCAAATTTTAACTTTTTTTCCCCAGTACTGGGAATTGAATCCAAGGCTTTGAGCATTTTCCATCCCCGAGTTATAGGCAGGACTCGAACTTGTAATCCTTCTGCCTCGGCTTCCCCCATTGGATCAAAATTTTAGATATTTAAAATTTAGAGCAGAGTGGGCTGGAGAGATAGCTGAGTGGTTAAGAGTACTGGCTGCTCTTCCAGAGGTCCTGAGTTCAATTCCCAGCAACCATATGGTGGCTCACAACCATCTGTAATGGGATGCAATACTCTTTTCAGGTATGTCTCATTACAGCTACAATGTACTCATATATGTAAAATAAATAAATATTTTTAAAAAAATGTTTTGGAGCAGAGTATGACGGCGGACACTAGTAGTCCTAGTTCTTTGGCCAGGTAATGGTGGTGCATTTTAATCCCAGCATCTCTGAGTTCGAGGCCAGCCTTGTCTACAGACCAAGTTCCAGGGCAGCCAGAGCTACACAGAGAAACCCTGTCCCAACAACAACAACAAAAAACAAACAAACAAACAAACAAAAAAGGCTAACTCTGTGGATGTGGGGCAAGAGAATCAGAAGTTCAGGGCCATCTTCAGCTACAAAGAAAGTTTAAGGCCAATGCAGGGCCCAAGAAATCCTGACTCAGGAAGAAGAGGAGAAAGAGGAGGGGGGAGGGGAGAAGAAGGAGGAGCAGGGGAAGAGGAAGGAGGAGGTTGGCCCCAACAGCTGTCCAACTCTGACTGCTTGAGACAATGATGACAATTTTACTGCCAACATGTAAGAAGTCACAGGACACCGCCTCATAGACTCAACGCCAATCTCCAGACTCCCTGAGGTCTATCTTGGGTTGTCCTCTCACCATTGGCGCTGGAAGACCTCTACCCAAGAAGACACATAGAGTAACAAAAGTACAGACATCACAAGATCCAATGACAGCCCAAGAATGTCCTTCCAATCCCCAGGACAGCTAACATCCAGAGCCTTAGGTCTGAATACCACCGAAGAGCAGGTCCCCCAGTACAGCTAGCATCCAGAGTCTTCGGTCTGAATACCACCGAATAGCAGGTCCCCCAGGACAACTAGCATCCAGAGTCTTTGGTCTGAATACCACTGAAGAGCAGGTCCCCCAGGACAGCTAGCATCCAGAGTCTTCAGTCTGAATACCACCGAAGAGCAGGTCCCCAGAAAAGCAACTTCAAGAGTCCTTCCTCAAACTAAGGAAACATATAGCACTTCTTCCTCAGACACAGACCGCAACACAGCTCACCGGTCCCTGTAGTTCTGGGAATACTGATGCCCAAAGAATCGGCTTTGAGGATTCGTCCTGTCTTCCTTATCCTGGTATTTGTATCTGCCAGTCAGCAGGCCCCCTGTGGGAAGTCAGCAGTTAGACCCTGGCCCAGACTCCTCCTAGAGATAGCCAGGTCATTCTTGGCTAGGAGCTGGAGAGCACAAGGGAGCCTGGAAAAAAGGGGACTCGGACACCCCCTTCTCAAAGCTTCCTGACTCCCAGGATCTGGCGTGGGCATTCACCAGGGCAGCAATTCATACAGTTGGGCTGGGCATGCCCTCCCATCCACAGCACCTGTCCCCATGGCAGCCCATACCAGCCAAAGGGTTGTAGGCGTAGAACTTCAGTCCAAAGTGTCTGAGGCAGGGGAGGAGCTCTGTCTCCACCTGCCGGGTGGTAGCGTTGTACATGCCCTGCAGGGAGACAGTTGGAAAGTGTGGGGAATGTGTCAAAAAAAGAGACCCCAAATGTACCTTTGTAAAGTCCCTCAGTTTAGTCCTTAACAATCCTGGATCCTGACAATCAGGGCATATACCTAGTGGTGATAGGTTTGTGGTTTATAACCACCTAGTTTGTGGTTATGCCCAAAGATCCAAGGTCAGTGGAGCCTTGGACCCAAGTCTGAATGGTCCTGGTACATCAGATTCCTCTCACCTGGTACACAGTTGGCATGATCCAGCCATTTTTCTTGCAGAGGGTACAGATCTCAGCCACCTCCCAGGAAGCATAGTTGGACAGACCAAGCTCCACAAACTTGCCCTGCAGGGGAGAGACTCCATCACAACCCAGCTCAGGGAGACACTGCAGCACAGCCCAGCTCACTATAGGAGACCAGGAAAGGGAGACTATGTGGGGGACCTGGAGTGAGTCTGTGCCCAGCTCTGTGTGTGTTCCCAGCACTCGCTCTCCTGGCAGGGTCAGCATGAAAGGGTCAGAGGGCATCAGGGCCCTCCCTCACCTCCTGATGCAGCTGGTGGTAGGCCTGCAGTGTCTCCTCTATAGGAGTGTTGTGGTCAGGTAGGTGTAAGTAGAAGAGGTCCACCCGGGGACACTGCAGCCGCTTCAGGGAGGTCTCCAGCTGGAACCGTACATCATCAGGCTTCAATGTCTTCCCCAATATGGGAGCAGCCTTGGTGGCGATTTTTACTTTCCAAGGAGGAAAAAAATCCAAGTTGAAGTCACTTTATCAAACAGAGTCTCTACTGTAAAGGTGAAGGAACAGGGCAGGGCAGGGCATGGTGGCGCATGCCTCTCATCCCAAGCCTGAGGACTCAAGAGCTCAAGGTCACTCTTGCCTAGAGAGTACAAATCCAGGCTCAAGTGAGACACTGTATCAAAACACACAGGCACCCCCGCAGGTGCACGTGGGCATGCACGCCGCTGGTACACAGGGGGAAGGAGAAAGGGAGAGAGGTGATGGTGGGGAGAGATAAATATACAGACAGATGGGTTCAAATTCCAGCAGTGCCATTCAGAGCTTGGATTAAACTGACCACTCCTCAGTCTGCGGACTGTAAGTAACAACGATACTGACAGCTTATGGAGAAGTCCTGAGGGTTGATCAGGCTTACCTAACAGTGGACATTAGGAATGGCCAGCATCCTCCCTATGACAATTGCTTATTGGACCTTTAAACCTTGCTTTAAAATCCATGAGCAGAAGGCCCTGGGTGGGAGTCACACCTGTCACACTCCAGGTACCAGAGCACTCGGTCTGAGGAAGAGGACACAGGGAAAGAGAAAAGCAACAGACCAGAAGCAAAACAGCCCCAAAGTAGAGTCTTGACATTAGACTAGGGGTTGTAGTCCAGAGCTCTGTGGTCATCTTAAGATGTTTGAAAGATGACCCCGAGAGTACTGTACATGATGGGCAGGTCTGATCACAGGAGGAGGAAGGTGCCAAAGGAACTGGGGACAGACACAGGAAGGCTTCGCTGAGGGCCTATGAGAAGGAAAGTCAGGGCTAGCTACAGACTCTGTTCATCAAGACAGACCAGTGCTGGGCCATCTGTGTGAGTCCCTGCTCCTCTCCCTGCCCCTGCTGAGAAGCCCAGGCAAATGGTTGGAGGATGGATGGACGGATGGGTGGATGGATGGATGGATACCCCCCCCCCCCCCCCCCCCCCCGGATGAATAGATGGATGGAGAGAAGGAACATTCCATATCTGAAAAGTCAATTCCTCAGCCCAAACACAACAGAGTCCTTGAGACCTGAGGGACCACATACTTGGAACTTTTCTTTTTCTTTTTTTTTTTTCTTTTGGTTTTTCGAGATAGGGTTTCTCTGTGTAGCCCTGGCTGTCCTGGAACTCACTCTGTAGACCAGACTGGACTCGAACTCAGAAATCTACCTGCCTCTGCTTTCCAAGTGCTGGGATTAAAGGCGTGTGCCACCACCGCCCGGCAGAAATGTTTCATTCTGGTGATTGACCTGGCCTTTCTGATGGGGCATCAGCTTTAGATCTAAGCTGTGGCTCTCACCCAACCCACCCTGAACCCAAGCAGGGGAAGGAGGGAGGTTCAAAAAAGACCACTCAAACAGAAGTCAGATCCAGGTTCTCCTGGCAATGCATAAAGAGTGTAATGCCAGCACTCTGGAGGCTGAGGTAGGATCTACATGCAAACCCTAGGCTGTCCTGGGCTGCATAGTGAAACTTCCACAACATACAAACAACCCATCACGTTCCCTGGGGGATAACCAGGAGATTCGGAAACAACAGGCCACTGAGTGCACAGGTCTGCTACTCTCTTGGCTCCCACTGTGCCGGAAATCAAGAAGTACTGAATCATGAAGCAAAATTCCATAGCAGGGTGCTTGGGGGGAGGAGCAGTGCCTGAGGAGAAAGAGTTCTATATGAAAGCAGCCTCCCAGAGAAGTGTAGTTCCACCACGAGAGAAACTGAGGCAGGGGACCAACTGAGTCAAAATCTCAAGACATGTACACTACTCCTGGCCCCTGGCCCCTTTCGGGACTACTGTAGCTCTTATGGCCGCCACAAAGCAGGAGGCGCTCTTCACCAACAGGCTCAAGATCTACAGGATTCCGGGCCATTAGCAAAGAAGGAAGCAGGTTTCAGCCTGAACTGGTGCTGAGCAGTCCACAAAGACAGGGGTCCTGCAGATCAGGGGCACCTGCTAGGCAGCAGCGGGGAGCCGGACCAGGGTTAGTCATATCGTGTGATGAGGATCGTAGGCCACTTTTACAGAAGAAGATGCGGAAAGAGGCTGGCAAAATATGCAAAGCTAAACGTGCCTGAAGAGTTTGCTTGCCTGAAGAGTTGCAGTTCTCAGAGCTCTTGGGCGAACAGGGTGAGATCAGAGAGCTCTGGGAGCCAGACGAAGCTGTGCTGGGACAAGGGGATGACAGGGGTGACGGTTACCTTTGCAGCCGCTGCGGCCCAGCCCGAGCCCCAGGCCGCCTAGGATAGTCTCGGACTGACCGTCCGCATACACGAAGGCCGTGTCAATCTCATTGTGGCCGCGCTGCAGGAAGGCTTGCACCGACGCGGCGCTGGAGGTCGCATCCATGCGGCGCCCCATCTCATTGGTACCTAGCACAGTTGCAGGCCGGGTCTGCGACATGATGACCGCGGTGGAGGTGGCAGAAGGTGGAGGATAAGAGAGGACGTTGGCTCCAGCAGTCTGCAGCTCTGGAGGGTGCAGAGGCTCCCACAGATTTACTAGCGGGCTGTGGCCACTTCTAAGGGACGGGCGAGCAGAAGTGGGTCGGGGTTGTGCTGGCTGGTGCAGGGGACTTCTGTAGAATTGAGGACCTGCTCCACCCGTGCCACCTGGCACTAGGTGGTAGGTCCCCTTGAGTTACGTTGCTGAAGGCTAGAACCCCCTCCCCAGTTCTCTCTGCCTCGCTACTGAGCCATCCTGGATCTCTGTCCCCTGCTATATATAAGTTTAGGGGTGGGTGACCTTTAATTCTAACATTCCGGAGACTTAGGGACAAAAATTGTCACAAGCTTTTGTTGTTGTTTTGTTGTTTTAATGAACTAACTAACTTCAGGCATGGACTTGAAACCCCTGCACTTTGAAAAGGGAGGTGGAGACAGGAAGATTAGAAATTCAAAGTACACCTTGGCTACAAACCAAATGTGAGGCCAGCCTAGGCTCCAAAAGACCTGGTCTTAGAAAAAATAGCTGGGCATATGAATTGAGGTTTGGGCATAGGTTAAGTATAAACTTGCCAAGCATGTGAGAGGTTCCACCAGGCTTGGGGAGAAAAGACAAGGGTGGGGACTGGTATTTCCTATCAATCTTACACCTAGGTATTTACCAAAGGT